CAAAGCAGCTCAGCCGGGCATGGTGGCTCACACCTGTCATCCCAGCTTTGGAAAAGCTGGGGCAGGAAGAATGTAACAAGTTTGAGGCTAGTCTAGGCTACACAGTGAGACTCTGCCTCAAAAAAAAAAAAGGTACATAATGCTTCTTATTTCATATGACTGGTAGGATTGATTAACTGATATAGTTCTTGTAATGATTCCAGCACCATATTTGATAGGTAGAAAGACATCATAAACACTCAAATGCATCAGTGATATTGTTAGTAACCTACTGGTCATTCTGCCTGAGGCACAATGGAGGTAGGAGTCCTGTAAGTTAAAAAGAATACCAAAAAATAAAATAAAGGATAGGAGGAGAGAAGGAAGATAGCTACTCTTAAAGAAAGCCTTGGTTCTCTCAACAGAAAATTCAGTACATAACAGAGCTTATCTCATAGGACTCCAGTGAGAATTAGCTCTGCTAATCCACATACAGAGTTCAGCACCACACTTGATAAGTAGATGCTCACAGTTATCAGTGATGTCATTAGTAACCCATTAAACAGTCTGTCCTAAGCATCATGGAGCTGGGAGCCTCAATCCATTCTAGATCATTTGGCATTCAGAGTTTGCCAACTAATATTTTTCCCTCAAGGATCACAGAGAAAATATTTTCAGCTTCATGAGAGGCAGGGCCTCTGTTCCAATAACTCAATGATGACATTGTATGGCTCCAAACAACCATTTGACAGAAAATTCATAAATGAGTCTGTGTAGTACGTACCAAAACCTTCCAAGTAGCTGTGGCTAGATCCACCTAATTCTGTACACTCCGTGATTTACTGACCTCTGTCCCAGCTCCTGCTTTCTGTTGTCAGGAGCTGTTTAAACAAAAATGCAAACACACACACACACACACACACCACGTAAACACACAAACACACATTTTAGAGACATATTTTATGCTAACATATAATAAATCTTATCTATTTGAAAGAGTGCAATATAAAATAGCAATGTAGTCTTCTTTAGGTGCAAAATTGTAAATAACCCATCCTTACAAAGCAGCTCAGCCGGGCATGGTGGCTCACACCTGTCATCCCAGCTCTGAAAAAGCTGAGGCAGGAAGAATGTCACAAGTTTGAGGCTAGTCTAGGCTACACAGTGAGACTCTGCCTCAAATAAAATGAAATAAAATGAAAGGAAAGGAAATAAAATGAAAATTAGGTACATAATACTTCTTATTTCATATGATTGATAGGGTTGATTAACTGACATAGTTCATGTAAAGATTTCGGCACCATATTTGTTAGGTAGAAAGACATCAATAAACACTCAAATGCATCAGTGATACTGTTAGTAACCTACTGGTCATTCTGCCCAAAGCACAACGGAGGTAGGAGTCCTTTGGGAAGAATAAGAATAGGAATAATCAAAGAAGAAGACAAAGGAGGAGGAGGAGGAGGAGGAGGAGGAGGAGGAGGAAGAGGAGGAGGAAGAGGAAGAGGAGGAGGAGGAGGAGGAGGAAGAGGAGGAAGAGGAGGAGGAGGAAGAAGAAGAAGAAGAGGAGGAGGAGAAGAACACTCTTAAAGAAAAGTCTTGGTTTTCTCAACAGAAAATTAGGTACATAACAGTTCTTATCTCATAGGACTCTGGTGAAAATTAGCTCTGCTAACTCACATAAAGAGTTCAGCACCACACTTGATAGGTAGATAGCGATCAACAAATGCTCACAGTTATCAATGACGTTATTAGTAACCCACTGAACACAAAGGAGTAGGAGTCCTGCGGGAGGGGCACTGGCCAATCGGAGTTCTGAAAGTGCTCCCAACATCACAGGCTCCAGCACATTCACAAACCTTACACAATGCTACATTCCGCTGTAAAGAAAAAAAAAAAGAAAGCACAGATTCAGTGTCACAAAGTTGTCTCCTGTTTTCCTCGGGGTCATCTCATGAAAGAGGTATTGCTCATTAAGATCAGTTCTGAACAGACTCTTCCATGGTGCTGAAAATGTTAGCTGTTGACGATGCCCCGCAGTGAGGTTCACTGGCCATTGAGTTTTAGGAATGTCAATGATTCATCCAAGTGTTTGCATTTAAGTGTTTACCTCATGTTGATATTTAAACGGCCATACCTCTTTAGTGGTTACTATGGTGGCTGGTAGAGAAAAACTAGCTGAATTCCTCAAATATGAAAGCCAGCCAGATCCTTTTTAGTTATTGGAAGGCAAGGGAGTTTGTTTAGTACACTGTAGGTTGTCTGAAGTCACCCTTTGCCTCTATCCACAGATGTAGTTGGTAGTAGTACCTGTCTGTTGGAATAGTAACAACAACAACAAAATGTTTGTTTATATTGCACAAATGCTCCAAGTAGGGGAAGGGTTTAAAAAAAACCCAGTCATTTCTAGAAAACTACCAGCTTACTAACAAAACAACTACTAATAAATGAAGGAATGTTCACGTATATCGCTTCTATTATTTTGACTTTGTCACAGAGACCCAAATGTGAATTCTGGCAAAAGGTCTTTCAAACCTCTGTGGGCTTCTTTTTAGCATGCTTTTTCTGGTGAATCAGCAGGGTAGCCAGTTTTTTAAAGGTTCTCCCGCACTGGGCGCATGGGTCTGGCCTATCTCCAGAGTGGATTTTCAAGTGATTATTCAATGTAGTTTTGTCAGTGAAACCTTTGTCACACTTAGTGCACACGAAAGGTTTCTCCCCAGCGTGCAGCCTCTCATGCCTCTGAATGCTTGACTTACACCTAAAAGTCTTTCCACATCCCTTGCACCGATACCTGGAGTTTGCCTCATGTCTCTTCTGGTGCTTGAGAAGGGCTATTTTGCAAGCGAAGACTTTCCCACATTCTGGGCAGTCCACTCGGGCCCCGGGCACATGGATCTGCTTGTGTTCCGTCAAGTACGAGCTGTTTCGGAAGTGCTTCCCGCACTTATCACACTTGTAGGGCTTCACCTTTAAATGGAGCCGCTGATGCTCTGAAAGATGTGAGTTGACCCTGAAGGTTTTCCCACACACCTGACAGCAGTACGGCTTCTCTCCGGTATGGATCCTCTTGTGCTCCCTCAGGGACGAGCTGCGGCCGAAGCACTTGTTACACTCTCCACACTTGTAAGGTTTCTCCCCGGTGTGAATCCGTTGGTGACGGGTGAGCTTTGTGCTCTGCTTGAAGGTTTTCCCACACTCGTCACATTTGAAGGGTTTCTCCCCTGAGTGGATCCTGCAGTGATTGTTGAGAGTGGAGCTGCTGTTGAAGGCTTTGCCACACTCCTTACACTTGTAGGGTCTCACGCCCGTGTGAATTCGGTAGTGTGTGAGGAAGTACGAGAGGTGCCGGAAAGATTTGCCGCACGTGTCACACTTGTGGGGTTTCTCTCCCGTGTGGATTCGCTCGTGCTCCACAAGGTGGAGGGTCTGGTTGAAGGTTTTCCCGCATTCCTTGCATTTAAAGTGGTTTTTACCTTGTCGGGCAGGCTTGCGCTTTGGATTTGTGGAACTGCTTGTGTTCTGTGTTTTTCCAGGAACATCTTTCCCCGACGTCGACTTTTCTGGAAGAGTGCTCTGTGGTGTTGTAGTTGCTGATGTTTGACTCGAAGATGTGCCCGGGGTCGCAGATTCATGCTCCTTATTGCCAAGAGTGGCAGTTTTGCCTGCTTCTGTAGTCGAAGTTGAGCCACGTTTCTCCTTATTCTGAGATGGCCTGTCATCACTTTTTGAGGTCTTTTCTGCTCTCAAATTCTGGGAACCACCCCCTTGATCTACCTTCTTCCGCTTCTCCAGTGATGTTGTCTTAGAATTATCTGGCTTCCGGATTTCTGCCTTTGTGGAATTATTCTCTGTCTTCTTCCCTGAAGGAGATTTAAAGGTTTAAAATGTTTTTTTAAGATGTGTGTGTGTGTGTGTGTGTGTCTTTATTTAAGTATATACATGTGAGTGCAGGTGCCGTGCACGCCACAAAAGGGCACCAAATGTCTCTGACCTAGAGTTACAGGAAGTTGACCTGCCTGACATGGGTCCTGGGAACTGATTCCTGGTCCTTGAAAGAACAGTAAACACTCTTACCCACTGAGCCATTTCTCCAGTTCCGTGAAGGAGATTTAGAACAAAAACATGTTTCATGTCTGGTTTTGTTTTAACGGGAAACACTTAACAATAATTAGAGTATAACATGTACAAAAAGTGTAAAATATAAAATATTTGCTTTTTTGGTGCTCACAGACCAAACATATCCTGTGGTCTCTAGGTTAAAATTGGAAGCAGGTAAGCAATCATTTCCACCCCAGCCCTCTCTCATTTTCTTCCTCTTCATTGTCTTCACATTCTTGGAGTGTCTATGGAACAGGGGAGGTACAGGCTGTGCCAGAGTTTGCATGTCGGAGTTAGAGGCTCCCTCCTTTCACTGAATGGGTTCTAGGTTCCAACCAATGCAGTTTGTCAGGCTTGGCGGCATGTGTCCTTACTTGCTGAACCATCTCCCTGCCCATCCTTGGCCTCTAACTGTAAACTAGTTTCGTCTTCTCTTAACCATCTTAAATGCACCTACAGTATGCGCTCTTTAGGACCTGGGCTTTTTGCGCTTGATGTTCTTCATGTGAGATTCACCCACATTATTTTGTATCATGGCTCTCTCTCATTTGGATCATTTATAATATTTCTTTACACAAATATTTTCTCACTAATTGGCATTTGGATAGTCCTCAGTTTGAGGCACTCTGAATACAGTGCACGTTTCCATCATGTTATATCTAGGGACTGTAGTTGTTGGGATACTCATATTTGTACAATTCTAGTGGATACTATCTAATGGTTATTTTCTCCTAAATACATCTACCAACAAGTATTTCTACCAGAAATCTATGGGACTTCTTTATGTTCTGTTTCTGTTATTAACTTAATGCTGGTATCATTTCTAATCAATCCCTAACATAATGGCACTTGAAAGTAGCGCCCTGGAGAGGTCATTTATATCATGAGAAAGAACCCTTCCTGAATGAGATCATTGTTTTAATAAAAGGCCATAGATCTTTCTAGATCAATTTATATCAGGTAAGCACATACAGAAGAACCTGATGTCTACGATCCAAAAGAAGGCTCTCTCTAGGGCTCGATCATGCTCACACCACAAACCTGGACTTCCAGACTTCAGAACTACAAAGGTAAGCATAAGTCATCTGGACCTTCTTTGTCCTAGCAGCCAACAAGACCTGAGACAAGATCCACCACAACATTCCTACTTCACATTTCTCTAATAGTACACAGGTGCTAGGATCATTTGTCTTAAGCATGATACATAAGGCAGATTAATGAATTTTAAAAAAGGGGGGGGTCAGGAAACTACTATGTTAAGAAAAACAAAGCAGACATGGAAGGACCAAAATTGCATATTTTCTCTCATATGGAGATCCTATATTTCAATCTTCCTTCACGCATGCACACATGTGTGGGTGTGGGTGGGTGTAGGTCATGAGACTAGAAAGGAGACTGCCAGAGGGGGAAGGACTCTAAGGGAGGGGAGGGGGAGAAAGGAAAGTGATAAAAAAAAAACATCTGATTGCAAATGCAGAAGGGGAGCTACTGGGTGGAACGAACGTGAGGAAACGAATGGAGTAGGACAACTGACAAGAAGTATGTCATAAAATGTCATAGTGAAGCCTGGTACTTTGTATGCAAATTTAGAAACAAACGAAAACACTAGAATAAGGGAAATAGAAGCTAGACTAAACAGGAGTGTTGTGGTTTGTTTTGCTTTGTTTTGAGACAGTATCTCACTGAGTAGTTCTGGCTGACCTAGAACTCACTCTGTAGACCAGGCTGGATTCCAACTCATTGAGATCACGGGCCTGCCTCTGCCTCCCTAGTGCTGGGATTAAAGGCATGCACCAGGATTGTTACTTGTAAAAGCACATTTATTGTTTGAGTGTGGATATGGGCATGTGTCCGCCACTACACACTTGTGCAGGCCAGAGACAATTTGTTGGTTATCCCAGATGTAATCAAGCTGACAACCAAGAATAGTCATCAGAATCCACCCCTTGTCAATTTGTCATAAATCATATCTCATGTCCAAATAAAATAATAACCAGATCATAAATATGCCTAAGAGGACATCAACTTGTTGATAGTTCTTTCCTTCCACCATGTGGATCCTAAGGATTGAATTCACGTCATCAGTCTTGGAAGCAAGGACCTTTACCCACCATGCCATCTCACTGTCTCAAGATTGTTGCGTTTAATGAGCACTGCTTTTTACAGTTTGGAATTCTTCTTAAATGCATATATTAGCTGAGTGTGACATTATGTGTCTACAATCCCAGCACTTAGGAGCTGAGGCAGGAGGACTCCAAGGACAAGTTCAGACTAGGCTACATAGCAAGACTGTGTTTCATCCTCACCCCAGATGCATAAATTATCTTAATGAAAACCATCTATATGTATTCTTGAGGTTCAGAAGTGGTGGGTAATGATTATGTGATTCAGAAAAGCACTGTTATTTTTGTAAGTCAACATAAGGCTGTGAAATAGCAATGATATTTTTAAAAGATTAAGATCGGGTAAAAACCAATCTGCTAAAAAGCAATGCTATTAACATCTTTTAAACAATTAAGACACTGATCTATAGACACAAGAAGGAAAATTAGGGGCTGGGGTGATGGCTCAGTGGGTAAGAACACTTGAACTGCAAGCCTGAGGAACTGAGTTCTAATCCCCAGCACCCACTACAAACCCAGGCATAGCTACATGCCTGTAACCTCATCGTTAGGGGACAGAGACAGAAGGATTCTGAGAACTTACTAGCTGGGCAGGCTAGCCAGAAAGGTTAGCTTCTAGTTCAGTGAGAGGCTCTGTCTTAATAAAAGAAAATGGCAGAAGACACCTGATGTCTTGTTATGGCCTCTAAGTGTACTCATACCTTCATGAGAACACAGCACACACACTGACATGTGCACACACACACACACACACACACTTAAAAAATAAGAAAGCAAAGTATTCTGGTAGGAGTAATAATTGAAATGCAGTGGAGAATCACCATTTGAGGAGAAGACATCCAGTATAAAAGTCTAGAGTCAGGCTGTCATTGTCACCTGCAACCCCAGAAGACAAAGGAGAAGGAAAAAAGTGTGGTACCAAACTGGAGAGTGCAAACATCTCTGGGGATGGCAGGATGGCAAAGTTTGCCTCAAATGAATCAAGTTCTGCAGTAACCCTGTCATCTCCCCCAGTGGAATGGAGGTCAGGAACCATAGCTGTGGTGGTTTGAATATGCTTGGCCTAGGGAGTGGCACTATTAGGAGGTGTGGCCTTGTTGCAGTAGGTATGGCCTTGTTGGTGGAAATCTGTTACTGTCAGGGTAGAGAATGAGACTTTCACCCTAACACATGGGAGCCAATCTCCTTCTAGTGGCCTTCAGATGAAGATGTAGAATTCTCAGCTCCTCCTGTACCATAAGCTGCAATGCTCCTGCCTTGACGATACTAGACTGAACCTCTGAACCTGTAAGCCAGCCTCAATTAAACATTGTCCTTATAAGAGTTGCCTTGGTCATGGTGTCTCGTCACAACAGTAAACTAAGACAATAGTTTAGTTAGCAATGCCCCTCCAACTCACCTGCAGAGGTGTCACTTCTGCTGACTCCTGCCTCACCTTGCTGGGGGTCTCCAGAAACATCGTTCTCTTTGGCAAAAAGGTCAACTCCTTGCTCCAACCTGGTAATCAACTTTGGCTTGAAAATATAATATTCTGTCCCACAGAAAAAACAAGACGAAGAAGAAGAAAAACTTTTGCATCCCTCTCAGGAACCACTTTTCCAAACAAATGTTTGCATAGACAGGAGCTAAGAGATTTCACAGAGAACAACCAGCTGGAACACAGAGCCAGTCACCTCCTTCGACTTGTCCTGCCCCCGCCTCCTCTCATGTTAATAGTCCAAGAGACTGAGTTCATGACCACATCATCCAATGAGCTCATTTTTCAACTCACTGAGATCATCAGGATTAGCTTAACTGGGCTCCTGTGACTTAAGCCAGACCTGTCAGCGAAGGCGAGGAATAGGGAGAGAAAAGAAGGGCCACCCATCGCCAAGGCATCCCAGCTTCTACTCTGCATACGAGTTAAACACTGAGCTTCTGAAGAGGAGGACTTTTGGAGAGGACCCGTCTTTGGATGTGATCAACAGCATCCAATTTGCAGTGTCTGAATTTAGTCTTACGGTAGAGTTCATCCCTATGAACCACAGCTTCTCAGAACTGAGACCCGCAGGCTCTCCCATGGCCAGTACAAACTGCAAGGAAGTCATCCTTACCTACAGAGAGCAGGTTCTCGTAGTTTTCCAGCATCACATCCTTGTACAGGTCCTTCTGAGCAGGCTCCAGTAGCTGCCACTCTTTCTGGCTGAAGTACACAGCTACATCTTTGAAGATCACTGGTTCCTATAACACCAAAGTCCCACTATCGCTCATACGAGGCCTTGTCTTTCCCTTGGCCCAGGAGAGTAGATGCAAAGAGGTGGGAGTTTGGGATGTATTCAGAATTTTACACCGTTGCAGACTTCGGAGATAGCCCTGGTACCTCCTCACTTTGCACTAGGTCCATACCATTTGTGTATGTGTATGGTTTTGTGTGTGCATGTGTGTGTGTGTGTGTGTATGTGTGTGTGTATGTGTGTGTTAATGTATATGGGTATGTCTATGTGGTTTATGTAATGTGTGAAGGTGCTTCTGAAGGTCAGAAGAGGATCTCAGATCCCCTAGAACTAGAGTCATAGGCCATTTGTGAGTTGCCTAATATAGGTGCAGGGAACCAAATTCAGGTCTTCTTGTAAGAGAAGCAAGTGGTCTTAGCTGCTGACCATCTCTCTGGCCCTCAGTGTGCTCATTTTTTTTTTCAGTTATTAACTTGACAAGGCCTAGAATGAGGAGCTGTCTGGATCAGGTTGGTCTGTGAGGGGCAGGGAAGGGGCGGGCATCATAATTGGGTTCATTAGGATGGGAAGATGCACTCTGCAGGTGTGTGCACCATTTCATAGTCTTGGCTTTGGACAGTATGAGTAGAGAGAAATCTAGCTAAGTGCTAAGCAAGCAGGCAATGTAGGTACATTCCTTTCTCTGCCTTAATGGTGGATGGGATGTTTCAAGTCCCTGCCTTGACTTCCTCATACTAATGGTCTGTGACTTGGAACTATAAGCCAAATATACCTTCCTCCTCAGTTGCTTCTTGTCATGGTATTTTATGACAGCAATAGAAATAAAACTAAGGGGGTGTGGCTATGCATTTTCTTCCCATTCTGAACCCAGGTTTGGCTAACGGGATACTGGAAATCTATGGCATATGCTTTTAAAAATGTCCAATAATCAGGGGCTGGAGAGATGGCTCACTGATAAAAAGTGGAGATTGTAAAGCACTCTTACTCACTGAGCCATCTCTCTGGCCCCGAAAGACCAAAGAAAAGAACCTTCATTTCCTACACCCCACTTCCATTGGTTCAGATCATGGACTGAACCTGGGTGAACCCTCTCCAGTTTCCTAAGGCAGAACAAGAACAAAGGTCCCTGGTTCAGCCAGCCTCAAATGCTCGCACACAAAGTAACATGGAAGGACAGCAATGCCATTCTATCAAACACTTCACATGGCCACAGCCACATGTATGTCCTTCTAGAGCACACAGTGTAGAGCGGGGAGGAGGGGCATGGACATGGCCTCAGAGACATCCCAATATAGCATGATGCTAGAAGAACATCATGCCCAGGAGACCTTTCCACATGCTTGAAAGAGTAGACAACAGTCGGAGCTCCAGTGGCGGGGGGAAGGCAGAGGAGAGCAGAGCAGAGCAGAGCAGGTCCCTCAGGGGATGAACAACGAAGGAGAACAGCTTCAAGAGGAAAGAACACAAGAGAGAAGGGGAGACGGTTAGCACTGTAGAGTGAGCACTCAGTGAGGCATGTAGAGTCAGGGCCAGGGCCTTGGGCTTGAATCTCCCTGAACACCAAAGAGCTGGAGGTCTTTGAGTGAGTGACTCCCCATGCCTCTGTCTCCACCTCTGTGAGAAGGGAGGAGTGACTAACAGTACAGTTCAGTTTCCAGCATTGAAGACAATGGTTATTCTTAGGAAACACAGACTGAAGTATTTAGAGGTGATGGCTAAAATGCTCAATGGCTTTGAAAGTAAGTATGCAGATGGCAAGGCAATAGGAGAAATGTCAGCAAATTCCAGACATTGGGTGACCTTCGTGCACTTCTTAAACTTCCCTGTGAGTTTTAAATTATTGTTTCTGTGTGTGTGTATGTGTGTGTGGTGTATATATATGTCTGTGCATCTGTGTAGTATGTCTGTGTATCTGTGTAGTATGTCTGTGTGGTGTATATGTATGATGGATATGGATATGCATATGTGGTGTATACATATGTAGGTATGTATATCTGTGTAGTGTATGTGTATGTGTATGTATGCACAGTGGCCATGTGTGTATATGTGTATAGTGAGTATTCGTATGTGTTTATTATGTATGTTTCCAATGTGTATGTATAAGTGTATGTATATGTTTGAGTGTAGTCTGTATATGTGTATATGTATGTATATGTGTCTGTGTATGTATAGTATGTGTATTCATATATGTATGTGTAATATGTGTATGTATGTGTGTCTGAGTATGTGTCTATACATGTGTATATATATGTATATGGGTATGTGTATACTATTTGTGTGTATGTGTATAATGTGTATGTATATGTGTATATGTGTGTAATCTCTGTGTGTGTGGTATATGTGTATATGTGTGTAATCTCTGTGTGTGTGGTGTATGTGTATATGTATGTGTATAATGGGTATGTCTCTGTGACTGTATATGTGTACAGTGTGTATGTGTGTATATATGGTGTATATGTGTGAGTGTATATATATGTAGGTGTATATATGTATGTGTATACATATGTGGGTGTATATATGTACGTATGTATATATGCATGTGTGTACATGTGTGTGTGTCTCTGTATGTGCATTGTGTGTATATGTGTATGTTGTTGCTGCTAATAGGAAAGACGGTCCGGTCCTCCAGTTGCTGAACGGACGCCCACGTGAGCCTGCAGGCACTTCAGACTTGCTGATGGCTGCCCATCTCTCCCCATCTCTCCTCTGGAACTCTCATTTGCCACAGTGCCCCTCCAGGATTCTGTCCCAGCAGTTTAAACAACCCTGAGGTCAACACAGTCTCAAGACCAGTTCTCACTGGTCAGGACTGAGTCACACGCCCGGCCTTGAATCAATCACTATGGCCCTGAGTAAGCCTGGAAGTGGGGTGAGGTTAAGATCAGCCTCTCCCTACATCACCCCATCCAAGGCCCAGGGAACACTGCAGAAGAGGGAGGTGGAAAGAGTGTAAGAGCTGGAAGATGAAGAGGAGGGCTGTGAAGTGCTGTCTTCTGGACATGGCATGGCCGGTGCACTCATGAACTCACAGCGGTTGTGGATACCTGCACAAGAGTAGGTCCATCAACATCCCATAATTATAGCAGGGAGGGGGATCACGAGGCCCCAGCTGTCCCTTAGGAGCTATTGGTGGTCAATGTTTGCCAGGGGAGGGGAATGTCGCTTTTCTTCAGTGGTGTGACCACTGCTAAATTTCCCATGCTCCAGTAAATAACCCCACACCCATGCTAGCGCAAACAACCCTAATTCCATTCGTGAGCCAAAACAGAAAGACAGAAAAGTAAAAGGGTCTGGGGGTGGTTCTAGTTGGCAAATAGGAATGGGAGAGGGCCAAGAAAGGACAATGGGTGTGTGTGTATGGATATGCTCATGATGGTCTATATATGTGAAATTCTCACAGAAAAAAATGATGTTAAATAAAATGATTGGATAACATAATTAAAGTCGCTAACTTAAAAGGATTTTTAAAAGATATCAGCTTCATCCAAAGTGGTTGGAAGACAAGGTGTTCCTAAAGAAAAACCCGGAAGTGACAGAATAAAAAAGGAGGCATGGATTCCAGGTGGACTGCTGCAGGTCAAGGCTGACTTCTTCAGAAGAGCCGTTCGCTAATTCATCCCTTCATCCACGCACTCATTCACTCATTGTCCATCCAATCCCTCTGCCCATACGTATGAAGCACTTGCTAAAATCCAGACTAGGCTGTGGCTCAGGCCAGGCCCACCTGCGCCTGTGGTGGCCTCTCCTTCATCTGTAAAGAAAGGAGCAAGCTTTCTATTGAGGGAGAGTCTGTCTGTGAACATCTAACCAAGTGCCCAGAATGTCTCCAGGTCCCCAGCTTCAAGGAGAATGGTGGGCTTCATTCTTGCTCCCCTAGAGAAGTTCACAGGTCTCAGGCTGCCGGTGGAAAGAGACTATGAGTATAGTGGATACAAATCAACTAGACATTCCCTCTTCACTCCCAGGATAGTAGTCCTGCATTCCTTCTGTAAAAGTACTTTCTCTTCCCCTGCTCCCGGCATGTGGGCTCATGCTGGTAAACTTTCTTCTTCCTCTGAGATCTAAAGGAAGGGGCATCTGCTTCCCTATTCTGCCTCTTGGGTCTGAACCATTCTCAGAGACTCTGCTCTGTGGCTGTCTAGCTGCAGCATTAATAAACGTTTTCCCCTCAAAGGACAAGCTGCTTTGGTATTCCCCCTTGAAAATGGCACTCCCTCCCACCGAAACCTTTCAGTCTCCTCTATTCAACACATCCTATCTGGGCACAGGGGATATGTCAGCCAGTCAACAGAAGGCAAGGTTCCTACCATTGCAGATGGAGAAGAGCAGATGAGCAATGAACAAGTTAAAAATATAATATACTGCCAGATGGCAATAACTGCTACAAAGAAAATGAATCGAGGACTGGAGGGATGAGTAGGTGGTTAAGAGCACTTGCTGCTCGTGCGGAGGGTTCAGTTCCCAGCACTCAAGTCTGGCAGCTCACAACCACTGGGACTCAAGCTCTAGGTGTCTAGTGCCCTCTTCTGGCTTCCCGGGCACTGCATTCACATGCGCATATATACACACACATAATGAAAACAAAACAAATCTTAAGGGAAGAGAAGGAAGAAAATGATGAAGTTGGTGTCATCCTACCAGAGATGGGAACTAGGAAGCGGGGGAGCCTCTCTTAGGAAAAGGACCACCCATTGGGTGGCCCTTTGAATGTACAAATGTATGTCCAAGCAGGACAGAAAGGTGGGACTGTCCTTGCCTTCTCCAGATCAAGCTAGTTTCTGGTCAACGGCTTACCTTGTACCAGGTTGGCAACGATGTTGTTGGGATTCTCCGCTTCTTTTCAGAGAGCTGGTTTGGTGTCTGATCAGGATTCGGTGAAGGTGAGGCTGGTGGAGGGGGAAGAAGTCATGAGGTCACTCTGGCTTTTAAGAGTAGGAAAACCCAATCATAAGAAATGCTCAGTGGGGAACAAATGCCAACGTGTTCTAAGCACTGTATCACACTCCAGGCAGGTATTTGATTGTTCAGAGCAACTCTAGCAAAAGTAAACCAAGGGCTGGATTGATGGCTCAGCACTTAAGAGCACTGACTGCTCTTCCAGAGGTCCTGAGTTCAATTCCCAGCAACCACATGGTGGCTCGCAACCATCTGTAATGGGATCCGATGCCTTTTTCAGGTGTGTCTGAAGACAGCTACAGTGTACTCATATACAATAGATAGATAGATAGATAGATAGATAGATAGATAGATAGATAGACAGATGGATCTCTAAAATAAAAGGAAACCAAGCCCCCTTAGTGGTACCCATGGTAGGCTACTATGTGTGGAAAAGTATGCCTGGATATATAGTAATAGATACAGAAATACTTGATTATGAATGTGGCACTTTCTGTATAGCACAAGAAAGTGGAAATCACGCTTCCAGGGGAAGACTCAGGTTGCTAAGGAAGGAGAGGTAAAACTACTTTTAATTGTGAAATCTTCTGTACATTAGACACTATTGTGCCAGGCCAGCAGGCTGTCTTATTGGATAAAAGGCATCGGTTTCTAGGACTGAGGACCTGAGTTTGATCCCTGGGACTCACGTGGAAAGGGCAGAACTGAATTCAGAAAGTCATCCCCTGACCACCAATTATACATACACATGGTGGGGTGAGGGTGGATAAATAAAAAAAAAAACTGATCCCGGCATTTGACTCTGAAAGTGTTCTACCAGCTTAGAGACACCCTGAAGAGTTACCCAGAGAACATCCACTCACCTAAATCTATAAGTTGCCTTGGTCGTGGTATTATATCACAGCAATAGACAATTAACCAAAATAGTAGCACCTTAGGAGAATTCTGAGAGCAGGTATTTAGGGGTGAGCAGGGAGAGTGAGTGGGACATGAGATGCCTCAACTCTTTCCATCAGTCAGGTCTAGGAGATCCCCACTACACAAATCTGCCTTTTCGTAAAGCATATACCTCTTACCTTCATTAACTGGGGCTTTAGCCTTCACCTCTGAGACACTCTTTCTCTTCATGGTGAGAGACTGAAATACTGTATGAGTTATAAGCAGGGCAACTAGGCGAGGGTTATGGAGCCAGACCGTCTGCGTTGAAATTCTTAGCTCTGCAGCTCAGTGGCCTCAGGCAGGAGATGTAATGTCTTCAGGCTCCACGTCCCTAATAGGACAGCAATGTTAGCAAAGCCTCCCTCTTAGAAGGTCAACAAGATGATCACTGGACAGTGTCTGGTATACTCCACACTTGGCAAGGGTAGAGCCATCCGGAGCCCAGATGGGGTCCTTCTTTTTAAAATGTTTTTTATTTTCATTTTATTTATCTTACATCCCAACCACATTTTCCCTTCCGTCCTCTCCTCCTACCTCTCCACTCCCCCCCACAACCCCACTATCCACGCTTCCTTCATTTCTTTTCAGAAAAGGGCAGGCCTCCATGGATATCAACCAGTTGTGGTATAACAAGTTATGGTAAGACTAGGTACCTCCTCTTCCATTAAGGCTGGACAAGGCAGCCCAGTAGGGGGAAAGGGTTCCAAAGGCAGGCAGCAGAGTCAGAGACAGCCCCTGCTTCCACTGTTAGGAGTCCCACAAGAAGATCAATAAAGTATTTTTACATTTTTTTTGGAGGGGTGCTACAGCACTCATGTGGGGTCAGGGTTGTCCTTCCATCATGTACATCCTAGGAATCAAACCTCGGTCGTCAGGCTTGGCAGCAAATGACTCTACCCATCAAGCCATCCTGATGGCCCTACGAAAGTCCTTTTTAAGAAAAAGTGGAAGGGGACTGGTGGGATGGCTCCACAGGGGGTTGGGGGGGAGGCTCCTGCCACCAAGCCTGAGGCCATAAGCTTCATACCAGGATCCCACATGGCAGGACAGAACTGACATCTGCAAGATGTTCTCCCTGACCTCTTTATACATGTGGCACGAGAACACTTATAAAAAGTCAGGGCTGGAGAGATGGGTTAGCAGTTAGAATAAATACTACTCATCCAACAGGACCTGAATTCAGTCTCTGTAATTCACACAGTGACTCACAACTGCTTGTAAGAGCAGCTCCAGAGGATCTGGTGCCCTCCTCTGGTCTCCACAGGCACTGCACCGCATGCAGGCACAGGTGCATATATATATACACACACAAACCAAGCAAACAACAAATTTTAAAAGCAAGAATTCATGGCTGATGGCCGGGACAGGCATTTCCTATATGATTTTCTGAAGCCTCATGAACAATTCCTTCTTGACCCATATTCTGCACTCCACCAGGCTCCGCATACAACTTGCGTCTGTACACATATTTTTGCAATGAGCCCTACCTTCAGCATATTGACATGCTCTGACTCCATCATGTACATCCTAGGAATCAAACCTCGGTCGTCAGGCTTGGCAGCAAATGACTCTACCCACCAAGCCATCCTGATGGCCCTATGACACTTTTCTACAACAGCTTCTGCACCAGTGAGCTGATGCTGATTACTCTGTCAGGTCTCAAAATCAATGAGTTTTGTATCCAGGCAGCAGCATCCATCTGATTTTTTCCCCTTCTTAATCCCCACCCCCGTGTGTGTGTGTGTGTGTGTGTGTGTGTGTGTGTTCATGTGCACGCAGTACCTACCAAGGGTGCCGGGTGTCCTGGAGCTGGAGCTATCGGCATTTGTGATGATTGTATTGTGGGTACAGGGAACAATCCTCTGCAAGAGAAGAAAGGACTCTTGACTGCTGAGCCATCTCTCAGGCCCCCTACCTCTCCATTTTCTGCTAATAAAACCTTTTCCTTTGCCTCAGCCTTGAACAGGTCCATAATTTACCTCAGCACATTGCATTCTTAAAGAAATACCATTATTCCTTAGGGATTCTCTCTTGGATCGCTTCTGAGATTGCTCGTTATGAATGTAAAAGCACTGGGGAAAGAAATCCCAACTGTAAATCACATCCTACTTCCAGTGCCTGGAACCCAGCCAGCGCTCAGTAAAGACAGCTCTTAGTAAACATCCAGATTTCCATGTTTTTTTAAAATCCTGTTTTAAAGCAAAGAGTTTAAAAGCCCAGGTCCAAGTTTCAGTTGTGTCCCCAGGACTCCCCAGACTCACAGAGGGATTTTAAGTCCAACATGGTTAATGGTATCAAGAGAGTTAGAGACTTAATCTGACCTCCGGGGAGGAATGATGAAAGTTTGGTGGAGCCTCTCGTCATACAATACTCTTTAATTTTGTTTTTGTAATTTTTATTTATTTATTTTGTGTGGGAGGTAGGTGTGCATGTGTCACTGAGTGTGATACAGGTCAGAGGACAATTTGTAGTGGATTCTCTTCTCTCACCATGTGGCTCTCAGGGGACTGAAGCCATGTTATCGGCCTCTTTCCCCTCTGAGCTATCTATCTTGCTAGCTCATGTAAAGAGGGAGAGAGAGTACACACACACACGTGCACACACACACACACGCATACACACACACACACGCATACACACACACGCATACACACACACCACACACACACATGCACACACACACCAGGGAGCGATGCAGCGAACTCAGACCTTGCTGATGCCTGACTGTATTTTGTTTTTAACTTTTAGACTCCTGACTTCTAAGTTAAATGCTTATTTCCTCTTGGGTGTTTCTTTTTTCTTTCTCCTCCTCCTTTTCTCTTTGCGTGTGTATCTGTGTGTGTCTGTATGTGTGTCTGTGTATTTGTATCTGTGTGTCTGTGTGTATGCGTTTGTCTGTATATGTGTGTCTGTGTGTGTATCTGTGTATGTCTTGTATGTGTGTCTGTGTGTGTCTGTTTCTATAGGTGTGCCTG